TGAAAACTTAGTTGGACTTTAGCTCTGAAGTGTCTAAACTGATTTAAAAAAATTAACCAGCATTGAAGAGTTTACTAGTCAGTGCTCATTTAGCAGCAGCTCTAGTATGGTCACTGAGTATAGTCACATGTACGATAGTGGTAGCAGTAATACTGTGTTTCCAGAGAACTGATTCCAAGCAGGTAAATAAAAGACTATTGGTAAAATTTTAGGTCTTAAAATATTAAACGATATTCAAGATATTTTAAGCTAGACTTACTAGATACTGTTAGGGGCCACTGGAGTTTGAATTTTTTGAAGAAATATTTTTAGGTCTCTGAAATATATTGTACAGTTGATGTAAAAGCCTATTAATAGCCCTATTTTCAGATGTGGTAGCTGAAGAACTTCTGTGAGATAGCTATTTTTGCTCTATTTGCACCAATTAAATTAACAGCATGTGCCACAGTAGCTTTATTTCTATCCTGAATCAATTAGCAGTGCAGTAAATAATAAATTGCTTAAATTATGCATTTACTAAAAAGAATATACTTTCCTTGTTTGTTTTTGCATAATAATACATTATAATGAATTCCACAATAGCATATTGTGCATTCATGTATATCCAAGTAACATTTTTCCATCCTCCGTAAAGCATGTGTCACTGTTAGATTAAAAATAAATACTAATGATTTTGAAAACTAAGACAGCAGACTTTGGTGATCTGTCATGAGGAAGGTAAAGAAGGAAACTAACATTTGGTGGAAACTATTTTATGATTCAATTTGACAGATATCTGTAGGTGGATATCTGAACTGATAAAGAGGAAAGAGAGCAGTCCTGTAAGTTATTGACTGACAGGCGCAACTCCTCCATGGACTAGACTAATAGGACCTCATTCTGAAATCAACAGAAAAACTTAATTTTGTTTCAATGATTTTGTTTGGAGTTTTTTGTTTGTTTTGGGTCAAGGGCTTACCCCAAGTCTGATCACCACATCTTGGTAAATGCAACTTTTTTTTTTTTCTGTAACATTCAGTGCAAATCATGCAGGATTCAGTTTTTTTCTTTTCCTCCAGAGATACTGGTGTAGTCCATGTGAAAGTAATTTTCTTGTACAGTTCCACTAATTATCTTCTTTCTGGAACTTAGCAGTTTGGAAAGAACTTGCACTATGAAAGTAACTTCCTGATTTGATCCTTACTGGGAACTGGGTGTTAATATGAATAAAGAGCACCAACATCCATCATGACTTATTTATTTTTTGGAGAAGAAATTATATCCCTTAAACTCTTTCTTAAATATTATTTAAACAATGTATCTTGGTAATATCTTGTAATAGTGAGTTCTACTGAACAATTATAACTAACATTAAAAGTGCTTGTGAATGCAATAAACAGCTAAAATTTATCAAGGAGATTACTGTCATGTTTATTTGCTTTGTACTGCAAAATAGGGTAAACAGAATTACTGATTCCATGTCTTGATAATAGTTTAGTCTAGCATTATGTTATGGATTTCTGTTTTTTTACCATCAAAACACAGGGGCTGATGTGCCTGATAATCTCTTATTGCTGCTTCAGAAGCCCATGCTTCTAATAATTTTCATGTCTTTGTGTTGTTTCTAGCGATGCTGTATTTTTGTGAGAAAGTAATTCAGTTTTTCATACGTTACTATACCAGAATTATTTTTTACAATTAATTTTTAACTTTTAATTTTTAGTTAAAAAGTAGACTTAAATCATGTTCTTGACTTGGCTTTTGTAATAGAAAATGAAAGTTGAAAGCAACTCTGCCACTAGGGAAGCACAGATGAATATATCAGGGCCAGGTTCAATAGAATAAAGCTAAAATGCCTTTTCCTCTGTTTTTAAAGCACACACCTGCAATTTCTTGCTCTCAATTATGCAGCAGTGGTGACTGAGCTCCATTTCTATTTGTATTTCTGTTTTTAAAAAATGAAGCCCTAAACAGCATACATTGTCACCAAAATATGAAAGGGAGCTAGCTGTTGCTAAAGTGTTATTACCACAGGTAAGAAGAGAAGAGAGAGCTGGGAAGGATAAAGGGAGGCACAGGAAATGAAGACAGTCAGTAACATATGTTTTCTAATGTTATTTTGAATTATTCATACTTAGAATAACTAAACAGAAAAAATACAATAAAAGTATGTTTTATACTTTCCAGTTTCCAAAATCAGTATAACATAGGCTGAGGAAAACAGCAGACTTTGAAATATGTATTTCATATGTACTTTAATTGTTTAGGGCCTAACTTACTGTCACTTAAACAAAAAAGAATTTTGTCAATAATTTCAGTGGGTTTTCATAGCTCCTGATGTATGATATAAGCAGAAAGAACTATGAATATGCTGCATTTTTAAGGTAGAAAGCAAACAAAAGTATGCTAGTATATGAAAATGTATCTGAAGGTAGAAAGTGTTGAGAAGTGTGAACCTTAGATATAGCATCACATGACACTTAAAATATAAGTACTGGTTTAAGTTTTACAACAGACTGCTTTCCTCTAACAGTTGACTGAAAGATATGTCTAGTAGTTAATGCATTGGAACCTCTTGCAACAAAAAAAACAAAAGGAAAAAAGTGCTAGTTTAATCACATGATCTGGCTTTCTTCTTTTCGTGCTTAATGGCACCCACCTGCATCATGACACCAAAGACAACACAGATGTTACTGTGATTAGACTGAAATGAGAACTTTCATCAGTTGCAAAGAAGTCAGTCTTAAGTACATACTATCGTCATTACCCTTTGGATTTGGATTCCATTGTCTTGAATGTAAGGAATGAATATTATTGAAGGGTGGGGATTATGTGACCCTGAGGTTGTTTGCTTGGATGTTGTTTCTACTAATACAATAAGTAGATTAGCTGTAAAATTCTGACTATTTTTTTCCCCTTTATTTGAACTACACATTTTTCTAACAACTCTTTTTTGAATACAATTTTGCTAAATATTGTTTCCTCACAAAGCTCTATACCAAATGGTCTTGTCCGTAGTGGGTATATTCTGTTCTTTGGCACTAGTAATACTGACAGTCCCCTTGCAGATGGTCTACTGCTCCAAGATGGTCTATGATTAATTCTGCTACAAACTACTGAAAGATAGCAAGCTAAATTCATTGCAGTATTGTTGCAACCTTATGGTAACTCTGTGGTGTCTTCCCACAATGATTATTCATTGGAAAGAAGAATCTTAGGCTACTGGTCTTCTGTTGGAATGATCCTGGCTTTTGCAGGCTATCACAAGGCCCATTACCTTTGCCAGTGAATGAGTCACAAAAAAGATAAAGCAGAACCTGGTGTTCCTGCCTTTTCATATAGACAGGGATGGTGTGATATGTAGTGTAAAAAACTCTTCAGCAGCTGACACCACTTAGAACAAAAGTCCTGTCATCATTAACAGCACTGAGACAGGTCTGCAAGATATTCTTATTGCATATCAAATGCAAATTAAGCACTAAACTTTTGAAAATGGACATTTCTTGTGCTTTGAAGCATTTGGTGTAGTGACCCACATTTTATAGTGTTTATCCATTTTCTTACAGATGCAGACTTGCTAAGTCTTCAAGAGTACTTTCTGTTTGCTTTTTCAATCAAGTGAAATTATTTGTATACAAAACCATGTCCCTTCTTGTCAATTTCTCCAGGAACAGATTTTCTCTGTCCAGAATTTCCATGGTTTTCTAACTATTTTAACAGAAGTGTCTTCAAGTAAATATGCAGGTTTGAAAAGCAACTGAAGCTTGCATTTAAATCATGGTTTTCCCATTACTTTGAACTTGAAAAAATATTTGCCCCATATTGTAATTATAGCTGAGGTAGACATATTGTCTCAGAAACTAAAAAAAACTGCTATACTTTCACTGTGAATGGCATTCTAGCATTGTTTTGAGTATTTGCATCTCTGAATAAGTATTCATGACAGCAAGCTATTTCAACTGGCTTTGGATAATTCAAGTACAGCAAGGAAGGGATTATGTTAGTTTTAAACATGATTGGTTGAAATCAATTTCATTTGACATAGTTTTTAATAGTAATTCCATAAAAGCTGTTCTTATTGATGTTTAATAGTGGCATGTATAGGTGCACATGTGGGCAAGAGAAATAAAATACAGATTACAGTAAAACAACTACAGAGCTGAAGTGCTTCTAAAAATGTTGTCACAGCAATGAGGTAAAGAAGAGGCAGATAAAATACATTTGTGAAAATCTGTGTAAGGTGAGTTATGAAGTTGCATTGAAGCAAGGACTGAGGGTGATCAGTTATAATAGCATCAAGAGCAATTAAACCCCCAAAAACAAAATTTGAGAAGAGGGAAAAATAGAAGAGGAAACCCCCCCCTAATTTCTTAGGATGAGAAGTTGGTGATCTTTACAGAAGTTTCCCTCACTCCCCTTAATACAAAACTAAATAAATAAAATCTCAGGAGTAATTTTTAATGCAGTTTGCAGTTTTCTGATGCAAAAGGCTTTCAGGCTTCACATAGCAGTTAATCTCCTGCTTTTTTTTTCTGCGCATTTTTTTTTTAACAAACAATATGGATGTCTTAATTACTTTTACACTTAAGCCAAAACACAGATTTAGATTTTTTTTTTTTCTCCTGTGTGTGTACACACATAAGGTAATGGATTTTTAGATACCATGTTCTTAAGCACCTAGCTTTGAACATTTTGGGCCTTTGGTGAACAGGGACAAGAAAGCAATTTTGCCCCTGCAGTTTCACACAGACATAGGTGTATTTTTAGGCCATTTCACAATGAGTAACACACTTTCCTTTCAGACGTTTACTGGGTGGGGACTGGAACCCATGGGTTTGCAATGAATGGACAGAGACAAATGCTCTGAGAAATCCAAGGTTTGCAGTACGTGTGCTGTTGCTGCCACTGCTCTCTGCCTGCTGTTAGGAGAGCTTGCTGCTGCCCCCGGCGGCAGGCCGCTCAGCACTGATGAAGCCCCAGCTCCTCGGGAATGCTGGGAATGTTGAGTCAGGGACTGGCAACCCAGACAGCCAGGCTCGCAGCTGACTGAGGGAGACTCGCTGAGGGACGGAAAGACGAGGGACAGGAGCACACCAGCCTCCCCCGACTGCAGCAGGTTCCTTCTTTTCCTCACCTCGTAGGTGTTCGGTTGCTCCGGCTCTCCCTGCTGCCTCCTTCCTCCGCGCAAATGAGATGTCAGCTAAACGTGATGTTGTAAAATCCATGTGAGGATGAAAGACAGATGCAATGATTTGAAAGGTGAGAAGCTTAAATAAGAATATGGCTGTAATACATTACTGTAGATTTATTGTGATTAAGGAAATTGCTATATATTGCTTTCTATAACCGTCTGGTAGCTGAAACTGGAAATGAATTCGCAGAACGGGCTTTTTGTATTGCTTTAGAAATACATTGTAATAAATGGGACCAAGTGCACATCTTATTCTGGTAACAGAGTGCCTCTCCCTACAGAATCGTCAACGAGAAACCTCTCTTGCAATTTCTATTAAAAGCAGCCATAGGAGTCTCATTTTTTGTGCCCAGTGTTTAAAAATATTTTTGTTGCTGTTAAAGTTTTCTAGAATAGAATTGATGAGCTTTGGAAATTCCTAGCTTTATATCTAAATATTGGATAATGTTTGGTGCTTTAAAAATTGTGTCAGGAAAAAGGTGAGTGATTTCTGTTCCCTTCTAGTGGCTGGCAAATGGAAACCAGAAACTAACAGGATATTATTTTGCAGCTATATAATTAATGAATACTTACTGGGGTCCCTCATTTATGATGCTGTGTGATTGATTTTTTTTTTTTTAAAGATAATTTTAGGTTGGACAAGAGTGATGCATATGATAAAAACCATGCAGATATTCATCAAGGATACATATATATTTTGCTGAGAGTACTAGAGTAGTAATGTGATGGAGAAGGAATAGATATATTTTTTTATTAGTGTGTGATTGATTTCTAGGCGGCTACCTGCTAAGCCTTGTGATGGATGGATGGGAATCTACTCCCTTAGCGGCGAATTGATATTTCCCTTTTGACGGACACACCAACCGGCCACTTGCATTGGCAGATACAAGCTCGTTGCAAATAAGCACGGCCAATAAGTGCAGTCAAGAGGAGGGCAAATCCTACTTGTCAGGGTTAGTTTTCTGGTTGGCTTTTTAAATCAGTGGTTTCACTTAACTGTTTGTTTGTTTGTGATTTGTTTTTATTTCCGATTCCTGTGCCCCCATCCCCCGTGTGCCTGTCCAGGGCGGCCACCTCGTACGCGAGCCCTTCCCGGCAGCTCCACCGAGAGCAGGCCCTTCTCCGGCTCCCCCCTCCTTCGAAGGGCGGGGAAGGGGGAGAAGGTCCCCCCCTCCATCAAGTCGCTTCTCCGCTGGCACTTCATTTCCCTGTAGCGAAGTCGAGGACGGAAAAGATCCCCCGTCTCATGCCTGCCCCCACCCCCGCCAGCCTCCTCGCCGCCCTGTTCTGAGGGAAGCATGCTGTAGAGATCTGTTACGGCCCTCCTCCCACCTCAGGAAATCGTAGAACTCCACAGCGTTGGTTCAGCTGCGCTTTCCAGGGCGCGGGAAGAGACCTCCTGCGGCCCTACGGTCGGTTGTTTTCCAGCCCTCCCAGTCTCGCTTCTCCTCAGCGAGGAGGGAAGCTCGACCACCTTCCTGGCCCGGCTCCCCTCCACCTGCGTCTCTACAGGGACCCCTAAAGCAATCCCTATGCCAGGGGGATTTCCTTGAATTCTCCTCATAAAAAGGACACCCCCCCCCCTCCGCTTCCCCTCGCCCCGCTACTGCTGCCGCTGCTCGGGCGAACGGCACCCTCTATCTACCTCGGTGCGGGCCGACTCTCGCGGCCGTACCAGCCGCCCGCGAGGAGGAGGCAGGCGGGCAGGCTCGGTTTTCTCTGGCCGTCGCTGCAGGCGGGATGGCGGCGCCGCCCCGTTCCCCTCCCTCCGTGGCGGGCGGGGCGGGAACGCCTCAGCTGGCTTAGCGACGAGAGGGCGGGGGCTGGCGCGTGCCTGCCGCCGCTCGCGGAGCCTGGCGGCCGCTGTCCTCCTCCTCACAGGAGCCCGCGCGGGCGCCCCGGGGGTGAGGTTCATTCACCGCCCGCTTCTCCTCAGTGCCCCGCGGTCGCTTCGTGGGGTCAGGCGGTTTGCCGTCTTGCTTTGCCGCTAGTGCTGGCTGGTATTTTCTTTACCTGTTCTGTGGAAGAGCGAAGGCTCTTGTAGCCCCTGTCCCTTCACGGTCTCATCTGCTTGAGCAGTGCGTTTCACGGTTTCTTCTTTTCCCTGGATATGAAGAGGAAAAGGTCCCTTTTGGGGGTCTGTTTTTGCATACAGGGAGTGTGTACTGGTAAGTTTCTCCAGGTCCCTTAAGGAATCTGTTTCTGTGGGAAAAGCTTTGTTACGGTTTCTTGATGCAGGAGACTTACAGTCTAAGTCTTGGCATCGTGGGTGACTTAAGGGGTGTGTGTGAAAACAACTCTTTCCAAATCTCTTCAGTGCTTTAAAATAAACCTTTCAATTGCTGTTATTTTTTGCTTGAAAGCTCTGTGTAAAACAGTTTTAAAAGGCATCAAGGTGAGTTGGCAATTTCACTTTTCCTAGAGGAAATGGGGGATGGGGTGGGGAAGGAGTAACTTTCTGTCTGGTGAGTGAAGGGAACATAATTTCTTCTTCTAAAGGATTAATGAGATTGAGGGCAGTCCCTGAGATCTATGGCTTCACAGCTCAGGTTGAAACTAGATGTTTGAACTATGGAGAAACTCTGTGCTGTATCTTTTACAAGTGCACCCAGGGTGGGGTAGATCTTCAGTTAAGAACTGAGATATTTTTTTATTTGTTGTTTTTTGTAGTGCTAGTTCATTTTTACTATGTCTTCAGATAGACATTTCTTTTATCACCACTAAAATTTCAGATGCAAAGGGAAGGAGATAAGGCAGCGAGTATGTAAACTGTCCTCTACGTCATTCTCTCAAAAATGCCATTTCTTTACTTGAGAGAGTAGATGGTAAAAATACTAACTCCAGAAAACAGTTGGAGTAAATAATTTTGTAGGGTAGTGCTGAGGGTTGAAACATTGTTTCTGTGTTGGAGAAAGTGTGTTTAGACAGGTTTGGAGGAGACTTGGCTGCTGTTATCTTTTAAATAGCTCCTATTTTAATCCTGCTCAGTTGGTGGGGCACCTAAGCTGATATTCCTGGATGTGGAAGATGATACTGTCTTATGTTCCTTCCTCACTCTAGCATTGAGATCACATGCTTTGACTTTCTAATTGTGTTGGGTTTTTGCTTCCTGTACCATGAAGATGAGTTTATGAATAGAAAGTGTCTTCTGCCTTGAACTAAAATGCATCCCTCTTTGCAGTAGGTAGAGGATTCAGTTACTGAAATGGTTTCCCTCCTTCCCAAGCATGAAGGAGAAAGCTGGCATGCAGAGGCATCTTTTGTTCTTTCCCACTCTACTGTGCAAAATGGAGTTCCTTGCCTTAGAAATTGTGTCTCTGGTCAATGTCTCTTCCTGAACATTGACCTCCTTTCACCTTCTGTTCCTGTTTGAATGCCTCATTATACCTATGATACTCTCTCTTGTGGTTAAGCTACATTTGGAGGAGACCCATCTCGCCATCTCATGTATTCTATGGGTGGTTCTTCAACTCCCCTAACCTACTGGTGGTCAAATTCTGATGAATGGTAGTGTAAGATACCATTATGCATGCCAGTTGCCTCTCCTGTTTCTTGCCTGCTCGGAAGACTGTAGAAAAGTGGTAAGGGAAGGGGTGGCCCATATTCTTAGCAGCCAGATGTCAAGTGAGCACATTCAGCCATCTTAGGATGTCAAATATACCTGATATTTAGAGAATTAGCTATTCAGCATGCATGTTTTTGAAAAGAATGCTCAAGGTGATCTTGCTTTAGAAAGATGATTCTTGCAGACCTTTGAAGGATGACTAACAGAAAAGAGTGGGTTCACAACTCCAAGAGGGTGAGGCAACCAGCCTGTGTATTACTTTCAAAGACAACATGTGTTCTCCCACCTGTATCTCTTACGGTGTTTATTATATTTTTATCCATTATGATGCATTTGTTATCTTCTCAGTTTGATTTAGTTTGTAAGATGCCTGGAATACATATATGGAGATGGTTAGTCAGATCCACCTAGGAAATACTACTGTGATACTGAATTTTTTTTTTGTAAACTGACTGTTCTTGTATTTGTGAGATTATAATTGTGTTTTTCAGTTTTAGGATTGCTTTAAAATATTTTTACAATGTAAGTTTTAGGTTTTGAGTGATCTTATATGTGCGTAGCAATGATGAGGTTGCCTCAACTTGTTTATTTTGCAACATTAATACTAGCTTGTATTTTCTACAAAGTCCTGGTAAAAGGGCAAGAGTTACTTTAAAGCAAAATGAGTTTATAATTTCTTTTTGAGGATAATAGTTGATCAAGGGAAAGCTCAGAAACAAAATTCTCTTAAGTGAACTGGATAGTGCTGCTTCTCCTGGGTGATACTTAGAAGAAAAGGCAAAGGCAAATCAGCAGAAACATCAGTTAAATCTTTTTCTGGAGCACTTAATTTTTTAATTGGTCACCTTTTTGGTCACATAATAATGTGCAATTTATTTCAAAGGAAGTGAAAGAAATGTAACAAAAGTCTTTGCCAGTCCTGAATTTAGTCCAACAGATCACATGTTGCACAGAGCATTGGTAATATGTGGGACAGTTTTCTTCCAAGTAAATAGCTCAGATGACTTGCGATGAATGCTGATTTACTGGCTATCCATACTATTCTACTGACTGAGAGGCTAACAAAACACACTGGTGACTTCATTCCAATTCCTAATGGAGGCTTACTGTGTCTGTACTCGTGGCTACACTACTTGGCATCTATTTGGGTTGTCTTATTGCAAAAATAACAAGTTGAATGGACTTGGAGACCACAATACTTGAGTTCTCAGGAATTGATTTCTTTGTCAAATATGAGTTGAATCCCGTTGGAGATTGTGCTGATGCTTCTTCAGTTTTCAGTATTGTTAACTAAGCACTTTTTCTGGTTGGTAAAATTAATTTACAGGTAATCTGCTAAAATACATATCTCATTATGTCTGTGGTATGTGCAATGTCGGAATCTAATAACTTTATAAAACAGCATAGGCCTGTGTTATTTCTGTGACAGTGTGGACTTTGACTTAAACAGTTTTCTGTGGTGCATTCTTTTCCTCAAAATACATTGTTGCTGAAATATGGTTC